GCAGTAGGCGACCGCCACCGCCAGCAGATACGAGACGATCTTGACCGTCGGCGATTTGTTGTTGTAGGCCAGACCGACCCCCGAAACGGTCTGTGCCAGGGCGCATACCATGAGTACCCGTCCCAGGACGCGATGGAACTTCTTATGYTTTCGGCGGATCGACGGTACAAGCTGCAGGAAATATAGGTTCCACCAGATCAGGCTCCCGGCTACGTGCGGGAGGAACCAACCRTATCGCGTGGTAAAGTAGGACATGATGGTGGAACGGATGCCGGTCTTGATCACAACGGGCGCCTCGTCCGAAGCGAGAATCTTGTGCATTCTGTCGATGTTGTACTGGCGGTCCCAGAACTTGTGTATGATCAACCGAGAGAGGGCGTTCCCCCATGCAAAGAGAAAGAGGAGTACTTGCCCGTACACCGCCACCCTGGTGCGGGTGTCCCACGGCTTTTCTTTCGGTGTGTCTGGGGAGATCTTGATTTTGCTGCTGTTTCCACACATTTTGGAACGCTGGGTCTTGTTTGGTCTGCTGTGCTGTGCTGTGCTGCGCTGCGCGGCTTGATTTGGTTTGATCTGCTTTGGGTTGGGTTGGGTTAGGTTAGGTTTGTCGGGTTAGACCGGCGGGCGAGTCGTCGTGAAAGTAGACGCTAAATGGTGGTTTATTTTGCTGTTGTCGTTTCTTCTCCTTCGAAATAATAATGGACATCACTATGCATCAACGCCGAGAGGAGCTTTCTGGAAGTTCTGTTTCAGTATTCCAAAATGCGAGTACGTTCGTTACTGKGAAGTGCAATTAGACCACGGTACGTACCGTATTTCATGTGGTCAAATAACGAACTGTACGTGGTGTTACGTAGTTACTAGTACGGTGCATCGGTGATGTTACGGTCCCGTCGCAATACAGTAATTGGTTTGATCTCGCCGCGCTTTCCAAGAATGCTCTCGAACTCCCAGAAACACAAAATCTTCGTATTAGTCGTGCCACACTTAAACTTAATTTGGTTTTTAGTACGAAGGATGTACTGTACAGTACATTGATGGCGCCAGATCTGGTTCGTATCGTACACACTCGTTAGCACTTGTACTTATTCCTRCAGAAACTAAGGAGTAAGTATTGTATTTCTACGAGAAGTATCGTACGGTACGTACTGTAGAAGCAAGTTGTTCCTMACGGATTTTTCGACTTTTGCGTATCCGAAATCAAGACCATTTGAGACCATTTCGACGCCGGTTGCAAGATTCCTTTCAYCAGTCGTTCGCAAAGGAACATCAGAGCGTTGTTCTGGATGGGACGGTAGAGGAGCGAAGAAATGTGTCACAGCATGCGACAAACCTCCGTCCGGTCGCACACGGAAGCCATGCTGTGTGGGCAGTAGAGAAATCCTCGCCGCTGTCAATGCCAATTGTCTTTTTTGGTTCACGACGCGCCTGCCGACGCATCCGGGCGTTAGTTGGAGAGATGCAGCGTCCTATGAACCCCGAAATCGATCCCGATGGGAATGAAGTGGACAAATAAGGATTCTAGTCGCAGTCTACCGCGTCGTGTCGGTGGAAAGGATTCGGTGCCCTAGGGTCGAATCCATGGTAGTTGCTGTCCAAGAAGGGAGTAAATCTTGTTCATTGCATAGCATGGTATCKTGTACGCCCTGTAAGCTGTAGAATTACAATGCAAAAGCGCTAGCCACATGACCAATCCATACAAGATACTATAGTCGAATCCGCTCTCCGACACGTTGTAGTAGTTAGTTTAGAAAGTTTAGAATGTGTGTACGAGTTCCCTCCAATCCGTTAGTACAGTAAATTACTTGTCTTCCAAACGTATTGAAAATTTGACCAAAGCAGCATGTCGGCTTTATAAATGTTATTACTAACAGAGCTCATACCAAAGGTTTTGGGAAAGCGAGTGGATTTGAACGTGACTGCCAACCAATGGTTTCTATTTTCTATCGTTCTCATCGTGGCGGTTTGAACAATCCAATGTTTTCGATCAGGCTTTCCGCATCAATGGCCTTCGATTCGATCCCGCTCGACACGCTAGAAAAAGCCGTTCGATAGTCGCGTGGGTTTACGGGGGCATTGGTCGGTGGAGCGATTCCCCGAAAGCCRATAAGCTGCGACAGCTTTTCGTACGCAAAAAGGGACAATCCAAATTGGGGCGCGATCCGTGCAACCCGGGGAAATGAGCCCTTGAAAAAGGCCCAGKGGCCTTCCGTTTTGTAGACCTTGCGGATGCAGTCGCCAATCCCGCTGTAGCGTTCTTCGCCTGGTCGGCTCGCCACCTGCAGCCGGGTTTTGACGAGGTCCATAGGATTGGTGAGCAGGGATGCAGGAATGGCCGCAAGCGTTCCCGAAATCAGGATGCTGCTGGATGAGGCACCGGCGGAACCATCTCGGTTGACGAGGTAGTCCATGCAAGCGGCGTAGGCGGGGAAATAGATTGCTCCGAAAGGAATGTCTCGCATTAGGCAAGCGGCGGCTCCCTTGTACAAACCGGTCGTTCCAAAGTCCTGGATAATCTGGGTAAAGGACATATAGTGCAAACCTAGACCCCTAGGAACTTCAAATCCCTTGCGTTTGTATATCATGGATGTTTCTCCCTGGAGTTGCATCCGGATCTTCACGATCTCGAGTGGATTGGTGACCAGCAATTGGCATGCACCGGCACAGCCGCCACTGACAATCTCCGTCAGCCACTGCGTAGAGGAACCATTGTCCTTAGACAACACCCCCCTCAGCATGTCGTTTACGGTGATCTTGACAAATTTTTCGGGTCCTGCCGCTAACAACGGAGGAAGTAGGCCACGGTATAGACCCTGAAAGCCTTCGTATCGGATTACTTTTTGCAGGCAATCTAGAGAGGTGTAATAGAGTCTCTTGCCGTCTACCGAAGGGGCTCGTTGGTTCATCATGCGGGTTTTKATCAAATCCAAAGGGTACACCGTGAAGATTCCAAATCCGCCGGCGATGCTCGAGAGAAARAACTGGATCGAGTGGCTCATCATCCATTCTTCCGTAGACATATTTTCCCATCGTTTCTCGTCGTCGTTGTATCCATAACCTCCACTGTCGTTTAATGAYAAGTTTTGGGGATAGTTCGGGGGTGGTGCAAAAGTGGCCTTTCCGTCTCGTCCTTTCACGGCTTCCAAAACGTTGCTCCCAATCTCCAGTCCGCATACGCTGATCGCGTCCTCGTTTGAAAGGTAACCATCGTGGTCTAAGTCAAATAATTCAAAAATTATGTTCACCTGCTGGCGACTCAATCGACCCCCGATTCCTAGGACACGATTTGCCACCTTGAAATCGTCTTGCGAGATCGGGCCTTTTTTTATCTGACARGACCTCTCGATCAGATTGCAGATGGCCGGCAGCTGGACCAATAGATCTTGAAAGGCGATAAAGTCCACGTATGCAAAATTCCGGGTTCCGAGCTTGTTCCGCCTCCGTTCTAGATCGGCCAAGACAGACCTCCTAGAATATTCCGCAACCTGTTTAGGAGAATCTCCCTTGATGGTTCCAGCCCGAACCGAGGCTAGCGCTGTTGATTCAGCAGAATCAATTGAAGGTTTACAATACAAAGATTCAAGCCGATCGATGATACCATCCGGAAGTCTCCAACTCGAGGTTGCCKTCAGTACCTCAATAAAGATTTCAGCTGGTAGATATCCAATGTGTGGATCTGCCATGTTAACAGTTGTAGAATCCTTACTGCTCTYGAGACACTGCTGCTTTTCCTTCGCTAGTTCCTTCGCACGATACAAAAATGCCTGCCGCCCCAGTTCACGCTGCAAGTCATGCAGAAATTGCGAAAACTGGTGAGACCGTATGACRCGACCATTGCCAAAATGTCGCTCGAGGAATTCACTGTTGGGGGCAAAGTGGGGAACACTCGTTTCCAGGTATCGTTCAAAATCCCTCCGCGTGATAGTGCCCGACCTAGAACGATCCATCAAGATGAAAGCAATGTCGATTTCTGGATCGGGACGYGCCATGAGGAAGTGGAAGAAACAAAAATCTTCCAAGGCGATGTGATTCTTTTCGTCGTGATAGGTCGAAGAGGTCCCCCTCAAAATGCTCTGGTAAGCATTCGCAATGGGTGACAGAGATGGGTTGCTCAAGGAAGATGACGACGAGGAATTTGAAGATGACGTTGAAGTTTCATCTCGTTCTTTCTTGAAGAATTCTAGGAAATCGTCCATTGTCATTACGAATTTTTCTTCCCCATCTTTATCCTCCTCTTTCGTCTTCTTTTTTCGCATATTTCTATTACCGTCGACCAATCGTTCGATTCCAGTCTCTTTCTTCTCATCGGGTAGGAATTCAACTGTATCCAATGTAGGAGTCGAAGGAGATGTCGACGCWCCCGACGTCATCGAAGAATATTTGCGATATAGTCGTTTCATATTTTGACTTGGTAAGATCTTGTTCACAAAAGTGTGCCGATCAATGCGAAAACATTCGAGTTGATCTGTTGCAGCAACCACTGACGCAGAGTGGTTCCTCCCGAACAAGAATCCACCCTCACCAAACATTCTCGAAGGTCCCAGCGTCGCCGGGTTGATGGTCTCATAAAAGATGTCGGCCTTTCCTTTTCGAATGATGTACAGATAKGAGGATCTGCTAGCAGCAGCATCCTCGTARTGCTTCTTTTCATTGTCGTTGCTTTGGTAGTTGCCGTATTCAGTATCATCGTCTTCCTCTATCCACCAAGGGTCGTCAACATCRGCAGGACTGTTACCAACGCCAATGACTCTGCTACCACCACGACCACCATCGTGCTCGTCGAAATAATCGTCGCCATGRACGTCTGCCATGTTGGTTTTCATTTTCCTCAGTCGCGTCTTACCTGGTCTTCGGACAGGCCGGGAGGGACCCTCTACAATGACGGCTTGTCCCGGCCGAAAATCATCCACCAACTCGGCTTCATCAACAAAACGTTGGATTTGTTCTTCATCCAAACACGTGAAGTATGGATTCCGATGAAGGGCCAATCGAATCAACTCTTCGTCTTGCAAWGATTTTTTGTGCTTTTTCTTCTTTGGTATTTCCTTTTTTTTCGGCATCTTCTCCGGTTTTCGTACAGTCATAGCATCATCATCTACTGCGCGAGTGCTGCCGTAAACGTTGTGATTTCTTACGATACTCTGAGTTTCCAATAGTGATGATCGAGAC